CTGTTCCCTTGTGGTACACCAAAAAGGAGAGGGGCGCTTCCATTGGGTTCCTTTTGCATGCCGTATAGTAGTGAAAATTGCACCCTTTTTTAAAAATGAGTGAGACACCCATAGAAGAATCAGAAGCGGAATCAATTTCCCCCAACCCTTCCACAACAGGTTCTGTTAGCATGTTACCCATCTGTTTAAAAGAAGAAATGCATTGAAAGCCGGGTAAACGGTTTGGGCCGTGTGCAAATTTTTCATCCCCTTCCCACTTGGTTTCTTTTTTACCATTGAGAAAAGTCATATATATTCCAGTATCATGGAATTACAAGTCACACTGTGTGCGCTGCACCTTTCGTTGGAAAGATGCCGTCAAATTATTCCAAAATACTGACAGATGGAGGGGGGAATTATCAAGTAAAATGACCCAATTTCACAAGGCAGAATATAATATACCCAGTGGCACAGATGATCACACTACCAACAGTGCCATGAGCAATCCTCTCTCTCCTAACATTGACCTCAACCAAAATGGAAACACAAACAGGCAGCAGGGAAGAGAACCTGGATTTCTAATGTAAAAACCCACCCAGCTGCCTAGTTCTCAGAAGCAAATGAACAACCCCATATGCCAGCCCAGCAAAGTGCAGCTACGTCATGTATCACTGAGTTGTGAGATTTCCCCTTACAAGCCTTCAGAAGCCTCCAAATGTGTTGGCCTGCAGCCCTCCCATCATCCTGTCAGCATCGTCAGGGGCCAGGCTTGTTGGGGATGATGGGGCCTACAGTCCAACATGCCTACAAGGCCTCTGGTTGGGGAAAGTGCCCCCACACCAAACCATGTACAGAACCACCACCATCAAGAGGCTGTTTTTGGAATGCAAGAGCCCAATGTCACCGTGACTGGGAAAAGGATGGGGGAGAATCTATTAATGTTCCCTTCCTATTTGTGGCTAACAGAGGGGAGCATTTCCAGGGTCAAATGCTAGGCACCCAGATTTGGTGAGAAGGAGACATTCAGTGCTCTTTCTTCAGTGGTTCAGAACTCTTCTGTTCCCCCTTCTTCCCCACCAGTCTGAACACCTTTGCCAGTTATAAAAGGAGACAATACACTAAGTACAATGTTTGGCAGAAGATTATCTATGTAATGAACTAAATACAGCAAAATTAAATATAGCAAAAAGAAGGGGAGGAAGGAGCATGATTTTTTGTAATCCAACATCACAAACACACCTTGAAATGCTACACGATGTCATTAAAGCTTGCGGGGACTTGGAATCAGCTCCAAACAGTGTAAGAGGGAATGAGAATCCTGTTTTTCAAACACTATCTTTGTTACAAATGCGGTCCCCCTCCAGCCCCACATCTTGAGGAATTCTCCATTTTAAAAGGGAGCAGGTCCTTTTCAGCAAAGGCTACTATCATTCTTCACAAGTCGGTAGAAGTGTGGAGCATCAGTGAAAGGCTTGAGTTTATGAGAGTGGCATTGGGGAGCCCACTCAGGAGGATCTTGTTGTCCCCTCTATGGTGAGCAGAAAAATGGTTAGGCTTCTTCAGAACTTCTCCAGAATCAAAAGTCCATTTACCCATGGTACCAAGAAAAATATGCTACTAAGCGTCTCCAAACAGATTTTCTCCATCCCTCCCAGCAACCCTTCACCATCCAGAAAAAGACAGTATTTTTTAGTTTCTTGGCCCCCTGTAGTGCTAAAACAGCAGTGCCCAAAAAAAATGCAGTGCCCTCAAAATCTGCTCTGATAGCAGGACAGTTGGAACTCCTGGCACTGTTTTCCTTGGTCTCTTCTGCAGTGAAAAGTTGAGCCAAACCCGACTCAGTTCCCCAAGAAGCTGCTCTCAGTCAGACAAAATCCATTGCCTCCATTTTTTTTCCCTTTTATAAGACAAGGTGCCACTCAGGATTGAGAGAAAGCGACAAAAAAAGGGTTTCATGTCATCCTTTTCCCATCAAGTAGCTTGCTGTAAAAACTAAAACAGTGCGTAAAATTACTCCACATCACTGTAGTTCTTTGCAGGGGCCTGGTGAGTTAAAGTGCCAGTTCTTTGTTTTTAAAAGTCAGAGAATACTTCCACCATAACTGAAAGTGGGTCTGAAACCAAAGAAATTCTAAGATACGTCTCTTATTCACAAATGAAGAGGGAGAAACCAAATCCTCAAAAGGATAAACCATTAGTATTCTTTTTTAAAAATAATAATAAATGCAGGTTGCAGTAGCAGAGATCAATTTAAAACTCAAGTGAGTGCTTAAAATTTTGATTTGTGCAAAGTGACATTTATCCCTCATCTCTTGAGTTTTTTGAGTGCTCCTCCCCTCAAATTTTTGTGCTGTTTTTTTTCCCTATGAATTTTAAAAAGGGAGAAGTGGGAGGTTGTATGACTGTTGTTTTCAACTACTGTTCTGACCAAATGAACAAAAGGGTATTTCCAGCAGTTCCTGGTGTCCATAATACAGAAAGGCCAAATTGACATGCGTCTGGTGTATGGGCTTTAGGAATGAAGGAAACATTTGAAAGGTGAGATTAAAGAACAAGAGAAAATGAAGAAACAATGCTCTAGGGACAACTGTACAGAGGACGTGGCAATCCTCTGGTGTGATCTGAGATTCAAAATAGGGCTTGAAAAACAGCAGCTAGAGTCACTGGAAAGGCCTTTCTTTTGTAACAGTATTTGCAAAAAAAAAAAAAAAAAAAAAAAAAAAAAAGAGAGAGAGAGAGAGAGAGAGAGAGTTCTACAAATGAAGTGAAATCTGGATTTTTAACATGGAAAAGTCCGAAGACAAAACACTGCAGGTAGGAGAAGGAAGTACTCCTTTTCATTCCAGAGTTCAGAGAGAAAGAGACTGAAGAAAGAGCAATGGTCTGTAGACCTTCGGATCTTAGCAAGTGCCAAGACTTCACATTTTTAAAATGCTGGGCTGACGGCTGAAGTTTGTTGGGAGCAGGTGAAGGAACTGGAGGGCTTCTTTAAACAATACTGTGCTGTTGGTCTTAAATAGGGTTTGGGAGATGCTAGACCACCCTTAACCCCTCCCCATTTTCCTGTAAGCACTGTAGCTGTCGAAGAGGAGAGTTCCCTTCTCACTCCCACACCGGTGCCCTTATCTCCGAGAAAATCTGTTCTTGAAGGCTTTAATAGTTTTTGCCATCATAGGTGCAATTTCTGAAAGAGAAAACAGAAACACTGAACCATGAGAGCAGGTTTGCCACAGCCTTCCTCTAAATATGTCCTACAATTGTGGTATTTCATGGGGGTCTCCCTTCCAAGGATTAACCATGGCTGATTCTGCTAGGATCAGAGTGGATCTGATGCTTTCAGGGTATTTAGGCATCTGGATACCTAGACACCAAAATACACAGAGTTTCAACTAAAGAGTGTGTCTCAGTGCTCTCTCCTCCAGTCTGACTGGTAAGAGAAACTGGGAAGATTTAACAAAGCATCTCTCTGGTAGATTATTGGGGCTGTGTGTATGTCACAACAAGAAGAAGCACAGGAGGCAAATACCAAATTTAGATCTTTGAGCAACTCAGCTTTCACTGAACTGTACCAAAATTAGAAGTCTGATCTCTGCGTAAACAAGATCAATTAGATCAGACCTCGCACTGGTAAAAGGTGCACTGAGCATACCATGCCCCTTGGCAATAGACTGATGCAGGTAAAAATCAGCATCACTTTTCAAGGATCCTTGCCACTGCTCTTCCTATTTATACTGAGGAATCTGCATGGTCAGTTTCTGAGGTTCCAGAGCTGAGCTTGGAAATGTTAGTTTTTTGAATTGCAGCTCCCAGAAACACACCCAGCCAGTATGGCTGGTCTGGGGCATTATGAAAGATATAGCCAATCCCTCCTCCAAAACATTCCCAAGTTTTGTGTGTGGAGGGGGCGGGGGGGACAACCCAAAAAAAACCTCTCCAGAACACAGTTTTGAATCAACAGTCCCAGCCATGAAGTGATGAAAGTATGATGTAGATGTAGTTCTTTCCCCCATCCCTTTGTCAAGATGCTGTATACGTCTTCATTACTAAGTTTTACCAGGCTACAGTGTACACCAGCAGATGCTGCCAAAGCAGTACAACTCTCTGCCTTACTTACTCTTCACAGGGGGCTTTCTGGGGTCATAGCTAACTGAGGAGGTGCTGCCCACAGATGGACCTGAGTGGCTGCCGCTAGTGCTGGGTCCGTCGTAAGACTGCTCCTCTTCTGCATGAACGTTGCTGCTTTTAGCTGACATGTACAACACTGGCTTTATCCTATGGGAGAGAGAAAAATAAGACCCATCATTGTTAATGAACTGCTCTGTGCACACTCAAAATGTGTATAGGTAATCAAATAAGGGATGTTGTTTCAACCACTTTGGTTCAGAGAGAGGTAGGGAACCATGTAGCTTTTGAACCATTCCTCCCACTGTAACTCCCACTGGCCAGGCTTGCTATGGCTGAAGTGAACCAGACATTTGTAACATATGAAAAGCCACAGAGTCCTGATTTAAGAAGTCAGCTCAGTGCAGAGGAGAATGAGTTAGGCCTGGACTAGAGGAACTACAACCTAACTGGCGGTCAGTCCAGTCCTATTCAGAGATTATTTGACTACGTTTGCTCAGCCTGTGAGGAAATGAAGCACGTTCACCCAGCCTCTTCTATCCTTAATCCTATTGCATTCGGTACATGGTGGATGACAGTCTGAAGAGGAAAGCCTCTGCTACCTGTGGAGACTCTTCCACATGATATGCTATCTGGGAGAATCTCTATGAACAGTGAAGACTCTCTTCATCAGACTGTCAGTTTTCACATGTATAGGAGAATGAAGATGGACGGGGTGGAGCTAGCACACTCACCCTTCTCACCTGCTGAGTCAATAGTTAAACACTGTCTGAATAGCTTCAGTTTCTGTCTATTCCTGGTATCTACAATTCACTTTTTTGCAGGAATGAAAAGCTTTAATTGGTGAGTTTAAGAATTGACACTTTTCTTTTTTTTCCAAAGACCAAATGATTAAGAGAGCCAGCATGGTGTAGTGGTCTGAACACTGGACTAGGACTCCGGAAGACCAGGATTCAAATCCCTGCTTGACCATGGAAACCACAGGGATCACATCCCCTCAACCTCTGAGGAAGGGAAAGGCAAACCTCCTCTGAACAAACTTTACCAAATAAAACCCCATGACAGGTTCATATAAGTCAGAAATTACTTGAAGGCACACAATAATAACAATTGATTAGTTTGTTATTTTAAGCATTGACCAAAACAGTATACAAGGCAGAGTGGACTGCTGGATACATAATGGCCTCCAACTTACTTAAAACCACAACCTGTTAAATCTCTGCAACATAGTTTATATGTGTGATGGTAAACAAATGCAGCACATATTAATCAAATAATCCACGAGTAATCAAATGTGCAAAAGTCAACGCTGCAAATGTGGAGGGCTGACAGTATCAAAACAACTAGCATCCTGAAGAGCTCCTTGACGACCTGCTTCAAAGCATGGGAATTGACCCACCACCTCATTTGACAACCAGCAGCCTCTGCTTGCTGGAAAAAAGAGCAACCTGAAGTTTGTTCAGATGACTGGAAGACAAGACAGAGAAAATGCAACTCTACCTCCTCCCTGCAGCTTTGCCCCTGTGTTCACCACCCCCTGACAGCAAAACAGAGTAAAGACAGACTTTTAAAACTCACTTGATCTTTTCTGGAACTGCAGCTCCACCAGTCCCAAATTTCTCTTGTCTTCGCCGCACATCCCGGGGTGGCTTGGCTGCTGAATGAACAAAAGCCATCTTGGCTACTCTGCCTAAAAGTGAAGCAAAGGAAAGACCCCAGTTAGGCCAAGGGTGTTTTATGAGAAACCTGCGAGATATCCTCCCCTCAAGGCCTCTAACAACTGCTGAAGGAAGACAGTGGGTGGCCTCCTCTCCAATGAAGTCTGCTTTCCTCTGCTCCACTCCCATCCCTTTTCCCATAGAAAATTCAAGACCATGTTTTACACCTCTTGAGATATCTCTCTCTTTTCCCTGTGGACTTGCAAAGTGAGTGCCATATGTCTAGACCGCCTACCCCCTAAAAATGGGTAAAACTTGTGCTGCCCCCCCCCCCCGCCTGTTGATGTTTGGCTGCAACTCCCATTAGCCCTAGTCAGCTTTAGCCAATTATGAGGATTTATTTGTTCCACCCAACATACTTGTCTACTCTTGTGCCTTTAAACCAAAGGTGAGAAACTTGTTGCCCAGAGCAAATGTGGTAACAATTTTTTAAAAAAACAAACCCTTTTATGCTTCAGGAGAAACAATTACCCTCTTTTTACCTGTTCTGGTTCATCTACAAAACACACCTTTCCGCCAACCCAGTGGGGGCAGGGTGAGGGGAAACACACTCAGTAATTACTGGACTGGAAGCAAGGTTATGATCAGTTCTAGCTTTAGCAAAATGATGGGCATGCAGCTGATCTAAGACCTCAAAATGGCACTCTTATTTTCTATGGCGGCCTACCTTTATTTTACGTATCAGACTGACAAGTGGAAATAAAATAGGTGAAGTTGTTTCCTTCAAAATAACGCAGATATTTGCAGACTAGTGGCTATTTTTCTATCAGTTCTTTGTTAAGGCACAAAAGCAGGGCTATGAAATAGCTGGCCTCTGAGATTCAAAAGCCAATAGCTCCTCATCTCATTCTTTCTCAAGGCCCAGCCTGACTGCCCCATTGATCACCCTACCTTTGGGTTTATTAGCGTGAGCTGATCGGATGTTCTGGGTTAGCATGAGAAGCCGCTGCTCTCGGGCATCATGCAAGCGTAAGTACATCTCCCTCCATGACTCAAACTCCTCCGGCTTCTCCTTCTTGAAATCACGAAGGCAGTGAACATGCCACAATCGATCTGTGTCCTCAATTAAAACCTGGCAACCAAAAGCAAAAAGGACTGAGCCCAAGAGCTTACCAGACAGCAATGCACTTGCAAACAGCTCTGAGAGTTACTAATATTTCATACCTCCATGCCATGAGAACAGAGCAAGTTTTGTTAAGGCAGAACTTGCCAATTCTCAGTTCAAGAAAAGAAAGAAGAAGAAAATAAAACACCCAGGTTTCTAGTCCGTATGCATATATGGAAGAAGACAGAGGCCAGATGGCCAGCTTCCAGGGATGTGTTTACAATGGATTCCTACACTGGCAGACACTTGAAACTGATGATCCTTGGGGTCCCTTCCCATTCTACAGTATGATCCCCATGCCTTTCCCCTCCTTTCATTTTCCCCCCAGTCATCCCACAACCCTGCTAAACATTCCAAGTTCTACAAATACCTGAAACACAGCAGACACATGTAGTATTTGGGTGAGGAATATGAGGCCCCCCAAGATGATGCTGGACTGCAGCTGCTCATCAACTCTAGTTAGCATAGTCATTGGTAGTGATGGTTTGCGCTACTACCCAACAAACACCTTGGCAGGCCCCATGTTCCCCACTCCTGGTGTAAAAAAACTGTGCTGTGAGTCAGGAAAACTCCCATTTGAATCTCATTCCTGCCTTGATTTTGCCAGGGGACCTTCCACAAGGTGCTTTCTCTCACCTGCAGCTCTACATCTACAATCCATGGGGTAACAACACTGATGTACCCCCACTCTAAAGCAGGGTGATCAACTCCAAAGAGGGTTAGACTTCGACTCGCATTAATCATCAACTCTGCCTAAACTAACTAGGGATGATGGAAGCTGCAGTCCAACATCTTTTAGGGAGCCACAAATTGGTAATCCCTCTTGTAAAGCTTACAACTGGTGTTATACATGAGTTTATTATTAATTTAGGGACAGAAAAAGCTCATGCCATTGCATTGTTTCATAGAGGGGTTGGGAATCATGCAGTCCTCCAGATGTTGTGCACTTCAGCTCCTAGCAAACATAGTCAGTGAAGAGAGTTGCAGACCCATAACTTCTGGAGGGCCAGGGATTTCCACCCTTGGTTTAACCACCCTTCTTCTATATGCTATACTCACTCACATTAGTCAGTGTGCCAGCCATTTTGTTGCTTGCACACAACCTTTTAGGTAAACAGAGTCCTCTCCACTCGTCTTGAGACCATTTATAGCACCTGCCTCCCAGTTGTCTAGGGACAGTATGTTTTATGTTCTTTGGAGCAGGACAAACTGAGGGGTTATGTTAATGTGTACAGTATTTGTTTTTACTTTCCAGAGACGTGTGATACTTCTGTCTTTTCCCCCTCTATATACTCCAGAGACCTATTTAGAACAACAACAGCTGGTCACCAGCAACTAGGCTCTCATCCCCACTGCTAAATACAATCCAGAAGGAACACAGAGCATATTGTCCATTTCAAGGTCTTGGGAATCCTATTCAAATGCATACTATGAGATTCAGATTTCCAGGAAACACAGGGTATAGACCAGGGGGCAACCTTTTTGAGTCGGGTGCCAGGCTGTTG